TTTGTCTCCAGAAGTTGTAGGTGCTCCATTAGTGGAGGTTTTAAGGAGAAACTTCCTAACAATGAGGACAATTAACCAGTGGAACAATTTGTCTCCAGAAGTTGTAGGTGCTCCATTAGTGGAGGTTTTAAGGAGAAACTTCCTAACAATGAGGACAATTAACCAGTGGAACAATTTGTCTCCAGAAGTTGTAGGTGCTCCATTAGTGGAGGTTTTAAGGAGAAACTTCCTAACAATGAGGACAATTAACCAGTGGAACAATTTGTCTCCAGAAGTTGTAGGTGCTCCATTAGTGGAGGTTTTTAAGAAGAGATTGGACAACCATTTGTCTGGAATGGAAAACTCAATTTCATTGAGGGCCTCATTAGGGCTGTGGTTGATCTTGGGGGGCCCAGTGGGCATGGCCAACTGGATGGGTGTGGCTGGTTGGGTGGGTGTGGCCAGCCTGACACCACTCTCCAAACTGTTAGCATGTTTCCTCTTCGCATTGGGTAGACTGGGCTGAGGCGATGTGGGGCAGCCCCTTACACTTTCCAGGGTGGCCCCGGGGGCTGGATCCAACCAGATTGTGGAGCAGATCTGGCCCGCAGGCCTTGTGTTTGGCACCCCTGGAATAGGGTCTTCTGCTTGAACAGGGGGTTGGACTAGAAGACCCCAAAGGTCCCTTCCAGCTGTATTCTGATTGATTGAGTTTGAAGGAAGAGTAATTGGGTGGAAAAATTTCTTCAAAACTCTACGTGGATAGCATTTCCCTCTAACATTGATAGCAGCCTCATCTCTAACTAGCTTAAAAGGGAATGTGGGTATGTTTGGTTTAATACCAAGGAGGTGGATTGTATTTCTATCACTTTTCATTTCATCGGATGAAAGAAAACGTGCTTGGGAAATCATGTTCATAGGAGAAGATAGTTTTGGAGAAATCCCACGGCTGATGGGTAGGAGGCCGGCTCTTGTTTCCTTGATTGATTGATTGATTATGTGTCCCATCAAGTCAGGTCAACTCTCGTTGAGAACATGGATTTTTCACCCCATGATGGTCTTTCTCTAACCTGATCTGAATAGTTTGACATGCAAGAATTGGCCAGTACTCCCACACAGAAACATGGGAGATAATCACCAATTAAAGAAAGTATTTGATTATAATGATTGAACTTGGATAGTTGAAAAAGTCAAAATAGCAGCCATAATTATGCAATCAATGCCCTGCCCCCTTTTTTTAACCTGTGTGGATACCCGTGTATTGACTTAAACGTGTGTTGATCAGAATCTGTATAATGCATGAACCAGAAAGAGGACTGAGAAAATATCTGCACATCTCTCACATCCTGGGCATAATCGGTTTCAGCTTCTCCTCTCAGGATGCTGCTATGAAGGGCATTGCATGCCAAAGCAAACAGACATTCATAAAGATACTTTCCCCCCACATTCCATCAATCTGCTGAATAGCTAATTCCCACAGCCCTGTCTCACTTCTCATCTTTCTTCCTCTCTTTCCCTACTGGTTTCTTATGATGTATCCATTGTTATTTGTAACATATGATTAATGATTGTAACTATGATTTATGATCTAGGACCTATTGGTTGCTGTTTATGTGTACACTGTGAGTTTATGCGCCGGAGACAAATTCCTTATGTGTTCAATCACACTTGCCCAATGAAGAAATTCTATTCTGTTCTGTTCTGTTCTGTTCTGTTCTGTTCCGTTCCATTCCTATTCCTATTCCTATCCTATCTTATTCCTATCCTATTCCTATTCCTCCTGTTCTTCCTGTTGTCCTGTCCTGTCCTGTTTTGTCCTGTCCTGTCCTGTCCTGTCCTATCCTATCCTATCCTATCCTATCCTATCCTATCCTATCCCCATTGTCATTCTCATTCGTTCTAATTCTATTCCATTCTCAAATCCATTTCAAAATGTTTTTGAAAGAACAGTCACTATTGGTGGATCTCAGATTTTGGAAATAAGCTTGGCTGGAGGTAGAATATTTCTTTCCAACGTGCTCCTTTTTCAAACACTCACCTATTCTTTTTATGGATGCATATTCTCTTCCTTTGTATTCATTCTCATTTCTTTAATGACAGTGAGGTCCATCCAAAGGCTAGGAAAAGTTTGGCAACATGTCAAGAGCAATCAAGCATTACAACAGGAAAGCAAGAAATTCTTTCCTTCACCGTTTTCCTGCGTATTTGTGAACAGGCAGGGGATGAAACAAGACGCAATGTTGATTGCTACGAGACTTTACAAGGTTTTCATCGGCTACAAATAGCTCAAGGTTGCTAGTTTAGGAATTTGTGAGTGAGAGAGTAGCTTTCTCACAGGGGGAACATTTGTTAAAACTTCATTTATTCATTAGCCTCAGTGTGGAGGTGTGATTCCTCTGCTCAATTTTCTGTTCCCATTTACCTTTTTCACTTTTCGCACTCTTGATTCTCAAACGGGTATTTGTACTCTGGCACTTTCCCCATTTTTTTAGTATGAGTTCTTTCTCGAATGTTCTACCAGATCTGGAGGATGGGAAAAGGGCCAGGGGGGGGGAGAGGGGGCAGTTTGTAGATAGCATTGCCAGTATGGAACCATCTTTGATGGAAGGAGGCAGCTTATAAAACTCCTTGCTTGCCCCAACAATTATTTGAAGATCTTGGGAGAAATTAATTATATATATATATCGGGATGCAGGAATAACAATGAAGCTGGGGCTCGTTAGTGTGGTCTTCTGGAGATAAAAGGACTGATGGTGCCATGCCCTGGTTGCAGAAGTCAACGTTCATCGTTCGTTTATGGAGAATTCAGTTCCGATCCTATTTGAGTTTGTGAGACACTTGGAGAAGTGATTTTGCTTCTTGAAAACTTGGTGCTGTAAGAGTTTTGTTTCTGCCTTCTGCTGCATAACCTTTGTTTGAAAGAGACTTTATCTATGTTTATTTTGGGCTCGCAGCCGGTCTGAGCCAAGGACTGATAAAGTTATG